ATTTGTCTTTATTAAGTGTGGGCAGGAGGACCATGGCACATGTGTAGAGGTCAGAGGACAACTTAAGGGAGTTGGTTTTCTCCTTCCACCATGTGGGTCCTGGGAATTGAACTCAGGTCATCAAGCTTGGTCACAAAGACCTTTACCTGCTGAGCCATCTCTCTGCCCACCCCTCAAAATGTGCACTTCTGAAGGCTCCCATGCTGTAAAACTTAACCTTCAAAAATGTGTATGCTTTTTTCTTTTTAATCTAACTTTCATTATAGGGGGTCCCAGCCATGAACCTACTAGTAATGAGTGAGAAATCTTTTCTCTCCTGCATTTTCTTTAAAAGTTTATTTTTCTTTTAAGCCCATCACTCAGGAGGTAGAAGCAGATGGATTTCTGTAAGTTCGAGGCCAGCCTGGTCTACATAATGAGTTCCAGGCCAGACAAGGTTACATAGTGAGAACCTGTCTCAAAAATCCAAAATTATAGCTAGGCGTGGTGGTGCACGCCTGTAGTCCCAGCACTTAGGAGGTAGAGGCAGTTGGATTTCTGTGAGTTCAAGGCCAGCCTGGTCTACATAGTGAGTTCCAGGAAAGCTGGGGCTACAGGGAGACCCTGTCTCAAAAGGACAAAAAAATAAAATCCAAAATTAAAGTTTCTTTTTCTTTTTTACTTATGTGTGCATACACGTGCATGCCTGTGTGTGCACATGAGATGCCAGAAGACAGTGTCAGATCTCCTGGAGCTGGAGTTACAGGAGGTTGTGAGCCACCCAATGAGGATGCTGAAAACCAAACTCAGGTCCTCTGGAAGAGCAGCAAGCACTCTTACTCTCTGAGTCCTCTCTTTAGCCCCTACTCTCCTACATTTTCAAAGTACAAAAATAGGCATAGCAATACACTTTTGGAACCAGAACACTTCTCTCCCAAGAATATTTTATCTTTCCATTCATAGTGTTAAAGTTTCTACATATATTCTATAATGAAAATCATCTTTCTAAGTTATATACCAGTCAGTATTCATTATGTAAATTCAAATTATGTAAATTTAAAACCTCTAGGATACTTCCAACTAAATGTATATGATGGTTAATCAGAATTATCAACTTGATTGGATTGAGAAAGGCCTGGGAAAGTAGTAAAAATACACCTGGGCTGTGTCTGTGAGGCTGCTTCCAGACACGATTAGATCAGGAGAGCTCTGACTTAATGAATGGATTCAGCATCTGAATAGATGAGTGCTGGCACTGAGGGAGGTGGGGCCTGCTTGGAGGAAGTAGGTCACTGGGGGCTATTCTTAGAGGCCACAGCTTGCTAAGGCCCCTTCTGGTTTCTACCCTGCTCTGCTTCCTGTCCACCATGAGGTGAGCTGCTCTGCCTCACCTTCCTCATCATGATAAACTGAAACCTCTAAAACCAGAAAGGAAATAAGTCTTTCCTTCCTTAAGTTGCTTCTGTTAGGTGTTTTGCCATAATGACAATAAAACTAAATACAATGTATAGTCTACCTCTGGAACATCTTTCATTCTTACATGATATTAATAAATTAAGTAGTACCTCTATAAACAAATTCAAATAATATGCTTGCTTTGAGGTATTCTATAACATGAAATAATATATAATGCAATATTTTCTTTTTTCTTTTTCTTTCTTGTCTTTCCTTTTTTCTTTTTTGAGACAGGGTCTCACTATGTAGCTCTGGATGGCCTGGAATTCACTATGTAGATCATGTTGCCTCAAACTCTCAGAGATCCACCTGCCTCTGCCTTCCAAGTGCTGGGATTAAAGGCATGTGCCACCACATCCAGCATCAGTTATTTATATGTAACACCTGAGACAAGGTTTCTACACAAAATACTGGTTTTTATTTAAATGAAACAGATAAATTATGGACAGTCTATGTGTGTAAATGTCCATACTTCCCTTTTCACATATAGTTCCCATATAATTATATGACATATATTTGGGTATAAAATAAAATTCTAAAATCCTTCAAATAGCACAACTTACCAATTTGAAACACATTTTTGTGTTAAGAAGAAAGATGTAACTGAGGTTTTAAGTGTGTTCTTATGTTCTTATTTTTTCCAGCTTTTAATCTACTTCTCAGTTTTGGATTGGAAGCAATCCCCCACTGAAGCATCTCCGTGATTAGAGGATGCTTTGCCTGTTTTACATCTATTAAGGATAAAAATGTTTGCACTTAATCCAAACTACCCACTTGGGCAATATACTGAGGTGTCAATAGCAACCTTTTAAAAATTCTATGCTTCTAAGAACAAATTAATTCTTCAGACAAGAGAAAGTAAACATTGTCCTTATTTATTTATTTATTTATTTTATTTATTTTTATTTTATATGTATGCATGTTTTGCCTACATGTACGTACGTAAGTACACCTGTGTCATGAAATGCCTGTGGAGGTCAGAAGAGGGTGTTGGATTCCCCTGGAACT